GTAGGGTCTGTTTTGAGTCGTATTGCAACTTAATTTACAAAAAAGATGTTAATAAAATAAAGACTAGTTCGGCCGTTCAGAGAATGCGTTCCTGACACCTATCAGTCACGACTAGTGATGGGCACAACATAACACTGAGTTCGTTACCGTTCCTCCAAAATGAACCGCTGCGTTATTTTTAAGATTATTTTCGTTTTAAATTGGCGGAATCATTTAAAATTTATTTTTTAGTAATTTAAGTGGACACCAAAAAAATAATATTAATATAATAAAATTGTTTTATTTATTCTTTGTTACAAAGTTACAATCTGTATTTCTATGCAATAAAGTACATTGAATTGAATGTGCGTACAGAATATTAATCAGACTCCGATTCGCTTGAGGAGGTGGTGTCTTTATCATCATCTTCGCCTACATGTATAATTATATTATTATCAATACAAGAATCAATCCTGATATCTCGGTCAAAATGTTCCACAATCAGGTTTTTAGTCTTCTCAACAACCTTTGCCCAGTCATCTCTTGTGACTTTTCCGCAGGCTTCTTTTAATAGGGTCATCAGCTTTTTCGTGCTGAATGGCGGTCAAGTATTGTGGCGGGCGGCGTAACCTTTTATTTGAGCCCAGATTAGCTCAATCGCGTTATATTGGTAATGATATGGTGGAATTCTTAAAATGCGATGACCGTACTCCAGAGCCAGTTCATCGATTTCGTATCGCACATTTGCCGCTTTATTTTCTTTAACTAATTTAATTAGCTCTGGTTTTAGCATCTGCATATCTGCGTCAATGCCTTTTGCTTGTAACCAATCCACCATTTCTTCTTTTTTATTAGCTTGGGTAGGTGGTGTCTGTATTTGAACCGAGTGATAGGAGGCATTATCCATGAATATTACAGAAGGCTCTGGTAGGCTGGGCAAAAGCACGTTCTGGAATCACTCTTTAAATGTAACCACTCTTGTAATGCCAGTAACGCGTTCTCCACAAAGCCGTATTTTGCAGAACCTGCGTGACATATTATCAGACGGGTCCCCTTACCCATTGGTACTTTCGACGTCGACGCTTGTGTATCATCCGTCCAAGAACGCGAAACCGTGTGATTGGCGTTTAGCCATGTCTCGTCAATGAACACGACATTATCCCAGTTATCAATATTTTTTGCTTATCTCAAAACACTTATCCGTTTTGAAATTATGTCGTATCGTTTTAATAAAATTTTTCTTTTGTTTGTTTTTTTATACGAAAAACCAATATCTTTTAAGATTTTGGTTAAAGCAGTTTTACCCCCGCTAAACAGTCCAGCTTCTCTTAACGATGCCAAAAGCTTCTTCCTGTTGAGATATTCATTTCTGGAATAGTAACCATATATATGATTTCTGATTGCATCGGCGTCAAAGGTGTCAATATCTGTCACGGGTTTAGTTCTACGTTTCTTCTTCGGAGTACGTAAAATATTATCTTCCGTACCAGTAGAGCCGAACTTTTCTTTATTAATATTTGTTATTGTTCATTTGCTAATTTCAAGCGCCTGAGAGACGCGTTCTTGTACTTGTTCGACAGGTAACAGGGGTCCGCCATTTTGCTGCTCCCGCTCAAAGTAATCTTGCAGCTTGATGATTAACTCACGGGCTCCACTTTTCAATGTTTGTCCACGTTTAGGCATTATTATGCACCAAAACTGTTTTAGCGTCACAAAATGGCGGCCCATAACGCCATTTGGGGTTGCCATTTTCAACCTAAATATAAAAATGCTACTTTCTTTCGCGCGTTCGGTTTGGCCGTAGTTTTATTTTTATATTTAATAAAAGTTATCTTATAGTCCATTATTTTCAAATTCTTAAAAAGAAAAACAAAACGTATTATTTTATAAAGTATAACTGTATAAGAACAGATTACCATACTGTTATTGCCTGTTATTATTAGCACAGCATTACAAATGTAAAGCGCTGACATAACCATGTAATAGCGCAGTATAGATTTAGAAAAATATTGTTTACCAAGTTATTTGACACTCAGTTTGGCACAAAATTATAACATTCATTGATTATTGATATAATAATGTTGTTTTAATACTCATCAATTGTTAAAACGGTAAACAACCAGCAAAAATATTTTTATCGTAACTGCATGGCATTACAAAGTTACGTCGTCAGTTCAATCGCGACGTGTCAGAAACGCATTCTCTGAACGGCCGAACTTTGTTAAAGTTTTAGTTTTAAAGTTAATTATTAATCGAAAGATACTATAATACAATTATTATTTATGAACATTTGTAGTAGTGTTGCAGTAAGTATGTACATTACTTATAAGTTAAAACATTTATTGAACAAGATCATTTTTATTACTACAAGAAAAAATACATTTACAAATGTTACACTGCCAAATATTTTCGTGACACTTTCTTTTTAAATATGTTATCAGTTTTCGATTATTACATTTAATTATATAGTGTATTCGCATTCGGATAAACAGTTTTATCAAAAAATAAATGAGGGAAACATAAGCATGCACCTCATTTGAATGAAATTTTACTTTATATTTTTCGATAACAGCACATAAAATTAGTTAAAATGAAGTACTGTAAGGCCCGCCACATACAAGGCCTGCCACATACAAGGACCGCCACTCCGGAAAGTCCATATAAAATCGGCAGCAAGTCCATATAAAATCAAGAACCCGTCACACACCTATTGTAGTTTTCCGTTCGAAATTTTGCGGCGAAAACGGGATCCGTATATACATCCATATGTGTGTGGTCGACCAGTTCATTCCGTTTCGGAATTCTGAAATGGAATTCCGTATGTAGTGTGTGGCGGGCCTGAAACACTCTCGCGTCAATCACATATATTGTACAGCAGACTTATAGTGGAGTGCATTGGCACAAGGTCGCACCGCCCCCTGCCCCGCAAGGGCCTGCCCGCCATTGCTCTCTTCTACACAAGTATACGCGTTTCCCAACAGTTACTTGTTAGGCTGTTTTTAATATATGGTAATAAGTACACCGTACGAAATAAAATAGTAAAAATAAGCAATGTACACTAATTTAGCTGTTGTTCTATCAGTCAAATTTTTAATCCTTCTAATAACGAAGATTGCAGAACTTAACTTGTAAGATATTATATCCATATGTTCTTCCCACTTGAGATTGGAATTAATAGAAATTTCGAAAAATATGGTCAAACTTTCGAAATGTAAACAATTATATTGTATGTATGTAGGAAGATCAGATATAATTGTAAGTTTATTATGGAAAAGCTTTACTCTCATTTCTGATATAGAAAGGTAGTTACTTAATAATGTGTAATGTAGGGTTATTACGTAAAAGGCTTTTAGAATAGAATAGAATCGTTTTATTCAATATAGTACTATGACCAATGGTTCGAAGGAAACCTCTTTCCTGGAAAGAACCAGCAAGAAACCCAGCGGGACATTTCTTCTAAATAGAATTAATTTACACTACTATGAAATATACACTATTAAATATTTCATTACTTTACACTACTATGAAATATACACTAATTACAGAGTTCTATGGCGTTACAGTGCGTTACGTTAGTTTTCCTGCATGCGTCATATGATCTTTCGTTTGTTAGGGCAATGTTGTTTGTCGTTGTCGATTTTTTTTTATAGAATAGGGTGACAAACGAGCACACAGTCCACCTGATGGTAAGTGGTTGTTGCGGACAATAGACATCTACATCTATCCTCCATTACAAATCAAAAGGCAGATGCGTTGTCACCCATGAGGGCTAAGATGGAATGCCTTGTTTCCAGTAAAAAGGGTCTCCGGTTCTCTACACTCACCATATGAAACACAACAGCACTAAGCTACTATTTTACGCTGGTATTCTGTGCTAGCGTGGTCCTTCCCCGGTCGAGCCGACCCATTCATGCTACAACTATACTACTAATATAACTGCAGCATGGCTCTACCACTTATAATTTTTTTTAAATATTTTACATAAGGCTCCCATGTTGGTCTGGGACTTATAGGTTCCATTTTTATGTGCGAATTAAACAAAGTGTATGTGCCAACTGTATTACTTGCCTAGCGTGTCGCAAATTGCGACTAATTATTGGGATTGTGGTTGTCCTTTTTTTAAGAATAAGGTTATTATAGAATAATGGTGGCAAACGAGCACACAATCCGCCTGATGCTGCGGCCCATAAACATCTACATCTATCATCGATTACAAATCAAAATGCAGATGCGTTGTCACCCGTGAGACAGAGAGGGAATACCTCGTTTCCAGTAAAGAGAATATCTCATTTCCATTAAAATTTCTTCGGATCTCTACACTCACTATACGAAACATAGCAGCATTAAGGTGCTATTTTACGGTGCTATTCTGTGAGAGCGTGGTCCTACCACAGTCGAGACGACCAATTCGCTCTACAGCTATGATAGCTGCAGCGTGGCTCTACCACGTATAAAAAACACGCCAATGTGTAGGCGATGAGCTAACCACATATCATTATGTATTTTACTTAAGTCTGTCAACATGGAACTGGGACGGTAATTTGTAGGATTTTTCCATTGTCTAATTTAATACGGGAACAACCTCACTGGGTTTCATTTAAAACATTATATTTCATTTACATTACGTTACATTTAGGAAACATAAAATATCGGGCCGTTATTTAAGGCTGTATCACTTACAATTAGAGATATCAATTAACCAAATTGAAAATTCCAGTACGTATTTTAAAAAGAATAATTAAAATCATTTCATAATTAATGAAGATATTGAGTAATACTGTTAAAACACACTTGAAATAGGAACCCACTCATTTTTTAAAGTCGGCTACATAATCAAATAAATGGTTTAACTTTAAAATAATCGAAAGAAAAGAAAAGATACTTGGCGATCGAAGAAAACGTTATGATTACTTTCTCCTTGATAATTACTACTTTATTTTTGTGACACAGAGCTGTCATTGTCATTTAACAATACATATGAATCCATTACTATTTATAATCGAATAAACTTTTTATGGAAAATGGCTAACGAGAGTGATATGAGGTCACTTCTTACAATTTCCTCTGAACGTAGCACTCAATCTGCAGTCCGTAAATGGAGGAACGTTCCGCTTCATGAACGGTGTTCCATGAATGACATGGTTAAGATCAAGGAAGCTTTTGAGGTGGCCCACGGAAACAAGCTTCTGGCTAATGAGTTCAGAGATTTGTTAAGAACATTACTGAATGTAGAATACGACGATGAAGATTTTAAAATACTTTTTATGAAGGTATCTTTTCCTATTTAGTTACACTATCATGCAAAATAAGTAATTTATAGTTAACCTTCTGAATATTAACCGACATTAAACTTGTTGCATGGGCATTAAACGCGGATGGTAAGTTGCAATAGTAAGATATTTGGTCTGGCGCAAACATTTTATATTTTTTTATTATGTGTACTAAGAGTGACAAACCTACCATTGGCTAAACAGTTTAGCCAATGGTAGGATAAAAATGCAAATGCGTTGTCACCCCTGAGTACTAAGATGGGATGAATTTACAAGTGGTAGAGCCATGCTGCAGTTATATTAGTAGTATGGTTGTAGCACGAATGGGTCGGCTCGACGACCGGGGATGGACCACGCTCTCACAGAATACCAGCGTAACATATTAGCTTATTGCTGCTGTGTTTCATGTGGTGAGTGTAGAGAACCGGAAACCCTTTTTACTGGAAACGAGGCGTTCCATCTTAGTCCTCACGGGTGACAACGCATCTGCACCTTCGTAATCGAGGACAGATGTACAATTGTACACCAAGACCACGAATTACGACTTATGATACAACTTTTGTCGTAATCTGCGAGTGTATCGTTCCATGCATAGAATATAGATTATATTACTGAACTCTTTCTTTCAAAAGTGATAAGGTTGTTTTCACTAGGTAGTAGGGCTTTTTTTCTACCTAGGACGCCGTATAAGTAGGCGCCATTTTTATTACCACGTTTTTATTAACTCGCTGTGTGTCTATTCTGGTCGAATTTAATAATTGATTTAACTAACTTTCCGATGAGCTTAAGATTTGAAACTTTGGACATAGTTCAGAATCGGACGAACATTTAACAGGCTAATAAGCAAAAAACGTGGTATTTTAAATTTTTAATACATATTTTTTAAAGTTCACTTATTTCCATTTCTACTTCTAAGCGGTAGTTTGCGTAATGCTTCCGTTTAAAAGGTTTGTTCTCTTGGGCGATAACGCATTTGTAGCCTTAAAAGCGGTGAACTATGAGCTCGTTTACCTATCTTAAGTAAAGACCTCCTGTTACAGACAGACTCTCCACTTCTGAGAGGGCCATGAAACGGAAAAGATTTGTCGCTAAAATAAAATAAAAAGTTATTAAAATTCAGTCATGCACATTTCTCTACTACATTTTCCTTCACCGCCCAGTACGTGGTATTATGTAAACTTGCACTTACAATTGTGGTCAACAGTTTAAATTGAACCGCCAGAGTTGAACTTTTGAACGTTATTAACGTACTATAAAATTTTAAGACAAGCGCTTAACACCTGAGCTGCTACGGCTTAGTTACGTCAAATATATTTTTAATATTTTGCTAGATCAACACGACCCGCGATGGGGAAATCGATTGGGATCAGCTGTTGTCTCACTTGCTCCTAGGCTACTTCAGCAACGACCAGGAGGACCAGGGTGAATCGCTGCAACTGCCAATAATGGGCCTGCCAAAGATCATACGTTCTCAACATCGTCATCCGATTTCCAGGATCTGCTTCTGTCCTGATGTTGCCAAAGTAAGTCTAGGTTATTCGGAATAGCAGGGGTACGTAACTTTTTGATAGTTAGATTATATATTTAAGTAGATAATCTAGTTTTAAAAAATGTCTAGCAAACCAAAAAAAATAGACTTTTTATACATTTTGTTATACTTTGAATTATTGTATAATGTAGATTTAAATTAAATAACGAGAGTAATAATAATGTTTCTGAATATCACATGCCTAACAACTGTGTGCCCGGTGTATGGTCACAGGATTGCCCCCTGTTACATAGAGGCTTAAATATATCAGGCGAAATGTGGGTGTTAATATCTCTGCCCTTAGGGGATATCGGACTGATGACATGTTATGTTATATTTCTGAAAATGAGGATAAAAATATGTTTTTTGAGGAAATTATTGTTTATTCAGTCAGACGCCGATTCTTCTGAGTCTGTAGAGTCAGAATCAGAGTCGTGTAACACGTATAATTAAATTAACAACAAAATATAACAAAAATTATAACAAATAGCTTGTATCACCACACGCGCGTTCCGAAACGGAATGAATCACTATTATAACTAAAATGGCCTCGCGAATGTTGGCGAACCCGTCTTGACCCTGACATGTTTTTGCCGGGAAAACGAGACATTACGACAAATACACAAGATGGAAAGAGATAGATAGTAAATTGTCAACTTCACAGTCGTTTTTAAGGTAAATAACCTTTCGTATCGCTGCTAGTTGGCCGTACTTTAGTTGCTCACTATGTACTTGACCGTGATTGCGGTTTCATTAGTCATATATTTGCTGTAGCGTAAAAAATCCAGTGAAAATACAAATTTAATAATGGACAACGTTACAAAATCTTAATACATATAAATTAGGTGTCACGATGTTTGTCCGCGATGGACTCCTAAACTACTTAACTGATTTTAATAAAATTTGCACACCGTGTGCAGTTTGGCCCAACTTCAAAGATAGGATAGCTTTTTTGTTCATGAGAGACCCACATTTTTTTTTTGCGAATTTAAGAATTTTAAAAGGACATGACAAAGGGTCGTCGAAAAGGGCAGAATAACGTCTGCCTGGCAAGCTAGTATTATAAAATAATCGAATAATTACAGTACTAATAAATATATTTTTTTTTATTTAAGTGGTAAGCAATTGTAGTAACTCTTCAAATTCTCAGGTAGTATTCATATCCTTAACAAACGGGGTTTCGCCTTGCCGTGGTGGCGGGGCTTAGTAGCCGTGGCTTGGACATCATGAACAAAGAGGAATCCACAGAGGAGAGCGTCCGTACGAAATCTATCTAACTGCTGTGAGATGTAAAACAAGGTGACGTAATATCCCCGAAACTCTTCACCGCTGCATTGGAAGACGTTTTATAGCTACTGGATTTTAAAGGATATGGTATTAATGACAATTACGACGTACATCACTAACTTTTTGATTTGCCGACAGTATAGTTCTTATGGCAGTATCACTGGGAGACCTAAGCACTATGCTCAATAACCTCAATAGTGTCTCCCAACGGATAGGTCTTAAGATGAACATGGACAAAACGAAAGTCATGTGTAACGTTCTGTTAGATTGTCCTATCCAGCACTTATAAAAAAAAACAGTACTGAAATTTCGACAACTATTTATTAATTAAAAGTTTTACTCATACACAAGTTCGGACACAGAATTTCTACTATTACATAAAACTTATACGCGACTTGGATTATAACAGCGCGATAGCCCTGGCGAAGGGCAGAGTAGACCCGGAGTGTATTCTTAGCTTTCACTGATAGCCAGCCGGCAGGCAAGAACCAGGTCCGTAGCTGGGGAGCAGTTTAGCTGAAGAATAACCAACTGAACGAATTTAGGAAAGTCTTGCGTATTTATAGCAAAATTATTGCTGATTTTTAATATTGTATTTGAATAAACCAGCAATAATTGCAAGTCAGCATTTTACTTTAACAAATAGTGATGTGACAGTGTAAATAGGGATGTAACATCTCCCCCCTTTAAAACGGAACATACGGAATAGAGAAGAAGTATGTGAGTATAATCCAAGTAACGATATAGAAATTAAGAAATATAAATTTGAGGAGAGAACATTTAACTTAAGACTAATGAAATATAATACTAATACAATGAAAAAGTGATAATTATATTGTACATTTAAGTTTTACAATAACTCAAGGTTTCGCCTTGGTGTACTTATATTAGAATCAGTACTTTCTGTATCATAATTTGTATTGGCCATTTCAATATTAGACCTTGCACGAATATTTGTATGAGGTTTAGTCATACAGGTATTGACAATTTTAATACAACAGGATGTACTGTTTCTTCGATTATTAAAACAGAGACATTTATACAATTTATAAGAAAAATATCCAAATACAGAGACAGATAATAGGGTAGTAATTATACTAAAATAATAGCTGTACTTAATATGGTAAGCTTGATTTTCGATTTTAGTTAGTTCTGCTTCATTTTGATTTAATTTATATGAAGCATATTGTAACGAATCAAGATTCACATGAGATAGTTTAATAGGAGTTAAATATGGTAATGTTTGATTTACAGTAGCTTTAGAACAACAATCGTCTTCTATAATATTAAAATTTGGATTAGGAACATAGAAATTAATTTCGAATTCTTGAGACGGAACAAACTGTAGTAGCTTATGATAAGCTTTACAATATTTAGGTAAGTCTAAAATACCTGTCCCGACAATATTATAGTCATTCATTTTACCATCACAAGTTATAGATATCTTAGATATATCTGATTGGACATATATCCATCTATTATTACTAAGTCTTTGCCATAAATCTATTTCACCTAATATAATCTTATAATTACAAGATTCTGGTATTCCTTTCACATGTTCAGTTAAAATACTCACTTCACAAATAGGATTTCCGACACTATATTGTATATTTCCTAGTTTACACAAATAGTAATTATTATTTATCACTTTGCACTCACTTAAGTCTTGTAACGCGGAATATGTTAATTTATCCTGTGTCACAGCTAGAAATTTTGCGGATGGATTTATTAATGCAAAACTATTTGGATTTTGAATGTCGTGTGGAGTTGGTAAAGCATATATGTGATATAAATTATAATCTACAAAAGTAACTAGAGGAATTCTAATGGCAAATATTAGTTTATTTTCGTTGATAAATGAAGATATTTCTGCGACATCTATTATTGTATGAATATTCTCAAGAGATAAATGTAAAGGCAAACTAGAAAGGATATCATTACTTTTCGAATTCAGTTCGTTATACAACTGTATTGGACTTAGCACTGATGGATGAACTACATTCTGTTTCCCAAATAGAATAGCATTGATTAGATCTTCAAGGTTAAAATTAAGTATCATTAATGAACTTTCTAAGGCACTAAAAGTCATTGATAAATGTGATATTATTTCTAACTTATTGGTATTAGCTGAAACAGTGTCTAAAATTTTGCCTAAATTTCGAATATTGCTATTAAGAATATTTTCGTTTTCGTTAAGTTTGGCAATAGTATTGTTAAAAGTATGAAATGGTAGAAGTTATTAAGTGAATATTTTCTTTCATAATTGAAGCTAGGTGTCTTTGATCGTCTTGAACCGCATTAATCGCATCAGTAAAAGCCTTAGCGTCATCTTCGTCTAGAGAACCAAATAGTTGTTTCAAGATTGGACCACCTATACCAATCCAGGCAGACCTTTTAAATTTGTGAGTAGTATTAGCATTAGTTAAATGGGATAAAGAGATGTAATTATTTTGAACATTGATAAAAAGACTTTCTAAAGGACTTAGGATATTCCAGCAATCAGTTTTGACTTTAGTAGATTGATGTGTATTACAGATTTGTTTACATGTTTCTAGAATTCTTTGTAATGTTTCTATATGAGGCTGTATATAAGATAGATCAGAATATGTAACTATTTTCCAATGATTATTATAATATTTCAGTGCACCAATCGGATCGTAGAAAAGACCTGGACTATTAATTATTGGTGTGATCATGTTTGGTCCTGCGAGGAGTCCTGGCGCGACGGCCCTGGAAGGGAATTATCATGGGCTGGTTTAATTTCATCAAAATGATGTCTAACATGTTTACGATTAATTAAAAGAGTAACGTTATTATTATTATGTACTTTAATAATTCTATATGGGCCTTTCCAAATGCTAGAAAGGGCTTTGCGTAATCTATAATGTTGCTTTAAATATACCATATCTCCGACATTATAAGTAATATTTCTAGTATTTTTATCATAATAAATTTTGGAATTCTCTTTACTACGGCGGATATTTTCTCTGGCTATGTTTCTAGTATTTATAAGCTTTTGTTTCAAAGTTTTTATATAATCAGGGTATGTGACTGTCGGTTCGATATCATAAATGGAACTTGGCAGGTTTGGTTTACAACCAAATAGTAATTCATGTGGTGTAAAATTAGTAGAAGAATGAACAGACGAATTGTAAGATACAAGAGCAGTTGGGAGATATTTATGCCAATCATCTTGATTGTCGTTCACGTAAGATTTCAAATATTCTTTCAATGTGGCGTGACTTCTTTCTAGAGCGCCATTAGTTTGAGGATGGTATGGAGTAGAAAAAAGATGTTTTATTTTGAAAAGAGAAGTTATTTGTTTGTATACTTCGGCAATAAAATGAACACCTTGGTCGGATAAAAGAGTCTTAGGAATACCAAAATGAGAAATAAATTTTATCAAACAGTCAGCTGTTTGTTCAGCTGTTGAATTAGTAATAGGGTAAGCCATGGAGTATTTTGTTAAATCATCCTGAAACGTTACTATGTATTTGTATTTTTCCAGACCTGATTCGGGTAAAGGGCCAACAATATCAGTTGCTATTCTTTGGAGAGGTTCCTGGCATGTAGAAGTTATCTCCATCGGAGCTTTATTGCAAGCACGTAAAGCTTTATTTTGTTGGCACTGTGGACACCGCCTAACATATGATTCAATATCATTCTTCATACCTTTCCAATAAAAAGAATCTTTGAGTTTATTATACA